GGCTGGCCGCGGGAGACCTGGGGCTGCGGAGTGCTGACCTCTGGTCTCCGCCCCTTCCCTCTGGTCAGAGCCTGGCGCATGTTGCCGCAGAGAGCCGGCTCCCTGGCATTTAGTTCCCAAACCCTGCTCACCCTCCCCGGCCCTTCCTCCTTCTCCTGTTTGGTTTGACGTGTCCTTTTGATTTTTGTGAGTCTCGCTTTTAAAGACCATCAGTGAGGAGTCACGCCACAGCTCAGCGCCTTCTCGTAGACAGGCTCCTCCCCACTACCGATTCCCAGTGTTTTATTCAAATACGGTAAGGTTTCCGTTTCCTCTCGGGTTCTCTTTTATGTAAGTAAACAAGTGAGGATAGCTAAATGCTTTCTACAATTTTCTCTCAGGTCAGTTAGCACAGGACAGTTCCAGCCTTGACACAGACCAGCTGTGTGGAAGGCAGGGCAGCATTCGAGAAGCCGGTTCTTCAAACCACAGTGTTCTCAGCGCTGTCGACAGCCGGGCCAGACCACAGAAGCCTACTTACTCAGCCCCTCGTGACGCTCCATCTCAGTCCTGGATCCTGGCTTTGGAAATAAAAGGGCAGCCCCAAGTAGGGAGCGGGGAGGGCGGCGCCGTGCTCCCCTGCTGTGGGCGTGGCGGCTCCTTCCTGCTCCTCGCTGCCCTTCCTCCTGGAGGTCGGCCTCTGCTCTCTGCCAGGCATCTTCCCCACACTGCCCCGGGGCACGGCCGCCCAAGGGAGTCCATTCTGGGACCGCCATGGGCACCAGAATTAAAGGCCTCCGCCAGCTCTGGACCGTGGGTGCACATGTGCCTGGCATGTTCAAGGAGGTCTCCAGACAGGGACCTGCTGTGTAGGGCCGCCTCACGGGCTGTTTTGTCACGGAGCCGCCAGCCAGCCCCCTCCATGGGCTCTGCACCCTCTGATTACTTGTGACCTAATGCGACACACACAGGCTTTGTACATAGCTGTGTCATTTCGAGAACCTAGTCTAGACAAGAAAGCCATGCTGTGTCCGACACGGAGGTGGCCACTGTGGGCCCAGCCACGTGGGACCCGCCGGCAGCAGCCTCATCTTCTCCGTCTGCATCGGCCGGCTCCATGGATGCAGGGCTCACAGCCCCGCAGGCTAGGCGGGCTGACTTCACTTCTGTTTGCCGGGGAGTGCAGGGTGGAGGACAGGAGAGAACTTGCTCGCACCAGCCAGTGAGATGGACTCTCCCGGATCTGAACAACCCATGCGCCTTCGCCTTGCCAGGTGTTTGCTTTTCACAAAAGACGTGAGTTAACGCAAACGAACCTGTGATTGGAACTTCTGGGAGCGCAGCAGAGTGGGGAAATTGTACGAGAGACCGGAGAGGTCAGGATGCGGTGGCCAAGGCCACACCTAAGCAGCCTGGCCCCGCCAGAGTGAGTGCGCTCTGCGTATTGCAGAGCTGAGGAGTACAGAGCAGCAGTTCCCAGCTTCTGTCATTCCCGCATCCCAGAGAAAAAGCTGGAGTCTCTGAACCGTAGGTTGTCTGGTTAGGGTCTGTTTACTCAGCGAAGCAGCGAGTGTGAGCAGGTGGGGATTGGAGTCAGCGGGGCGTATTCATTAGGGAAGGGATCCTGCCTTCTCTCTCACGTAAATCCCCCCATAGAAGCAAGTCACGTCCACTAAAGACTAAAGACGGACCACCCGTCACGCCGCCCTCCTCGCGAAGGCACTTACACGTCTCGGAAAGTAAACCATGGAGAGCGACTCAAACTCACGTTGCTAGGTGTCCCGCCACTTAAAATGGCCTCACGTCTTGATAATATTGTCTAATCCTTACCAACTTTTCCTTCTTTAAATTTGCCGAGGGCACGTACGCTCGCTGGAGAGAGACAGGCAGGCAGGAGGAAAGTGAGAGAGCCCCACCACGGAGTGTAGCCACATCACAAGCCTCCTCCACGTTCTCTCCTCTTGGGGTCTTGGACGTGCATGCGCATGCTCCCAGGTGTTCTCCACGCCGCTCGGTCTGGGAGTTGGAACCACGCAGTCGGCCAGAAGGGCCGACCTCACCAGCACTTTCACCACCGGGCCAAGGCTGGCCATAGCGCTTTTCAGGTTATGAGTTTTATGAGTATTTCAGATAAAACCAGAGCACCGAGGCCTGCAGGAGCCTCGCCTAGTCATCCAATAAGCGGCCAAGCTGGTCCCCAAAGTGGGGGCACACTTCCCGGCTGCCTGCTTCCAGGGGCCTGTCCCTGCTCGCCTGGTCGCCTTGTTCTCGCTTTTGTTTTTAAGGATTCCTGAGTGCAGTTTTGTTAGGCGAGAGAAAGGGTCGGAGGACCGGAGGACGCCCACAGCTGGGGGCCATGCAGGTTCTGAAGCTCGTGGGGGACTTCTGTTCATCCGCTGGCTTCGTTTGCGTCTTGTCTGAGAGCTCTCCAGAGGGATTGCCTCCTGTGACACCCTGTCATACTCCGGTGGGGTGGAACACCGGCTCGGTGCAGCCTTCCCTGACCGTCCTGATTCGGAGCCGACTCGGCCAGTGGTTCAGAACCGCAGCCTCTGGCCTCCTGCCGCACAGCCGAGTCAGCTCTTCCAGCCCCTCTTTGGTCCTGGCGGCCCCAGCTCGGGCACACCCTGGCCTGCTGCAGGTTCTCCTGAGACCCGCAGTGCTGGCCTGCCTGGGGTCCCGCTGTTTCTAGTCTTCCGGTGGCTTACCACCGTTCCGGCGCTCTGCCGATTCCCCGTCACGGCCTCGCGCCCTCCCGGGAGAGCTACTCCTGGGCAGCCCTCACCCTCCTGGACAGTGCCACCGTGAGGTGTGTCTGGTGCGTCTGCTGTTCGTTCTTTCCTTTATTGTTGTTATTATTATTATTATTACTGGAGAGACTTTTACTATAGGGCACGTGTGCCCTCTAGAGAGACAGGAAGTGAGAAAGCACCCCCAGGGGTGGCCACGCTGCAATCTCCTCTCCATTCTCCTCTTGGGATTTTGGCCATGCACACATCCGTGCCCGACGTGAGTTTAAGCTGCCAGGTCTGGGACTTGAACCACGGTCGACTACGTGGGAACCCAGCCATGTAACCATTATGCCCTCTGCTGGTCCTGTTTACCCCTTCTTCACTGCCTATTTTTGTCAATAATTTGATGGCTTTTGGGTGGAACCGCCATCTTCCAGTAATTCACCAAAATGATTTAAAGAGGAGAGGCACCTGATACGTGTTCTCTAGGCCTTTTCGAAAACATGGAGTGGTTCCTTTGGCGACATACATGCGAATCTACAAGAAAGGTGATAGTGTAGACATCAAGGGAATGGGTACTGTTCAAAAAGGAATGCCCCACAAATGTTACCATGGCAAGACTGGAAGGGTCTACAATGTTACCCAGCATGCTGCTGGCATTGTTGTGAACAAACAAGTTAAGGGCAAGGTTCTTGCCAAGAGAATCAATGTGCGTACTGAGCATATTAAGCATTCTAAGAGCAGAGATAGCTTCCTAAAACGTGTGAAGGAAAATGACCAGAAAAAGAAGGAAGCCAAAGAGAAAGGGACCTGGCTTCAACTGAGGCTTCAGCCTGCTCCACCTGGAGAAGCCACTGTGAGAACTGGAAAGGGGCCTGAGCTACTGGAACCCAGTCCCTATGAATTCATGGCATGATGGGTGTTAAAAATAATCTGTGGTCTATTAAAAAATATAAAAATTGATGCAATATTCTCTTTCATTAACTTCCTTAATACTGTTTAATAATTTCTTGCCTTTAAAAATCCTTGACTTTTTTGAGGACCAGCAGTTAGCGTAATGGCTATGTTGCTGGACTCCCATGTAGTCGACCGTGGTTCAAGTCCTGGACCTGGTGGCTTAAAACTCACGCTGGGCACTTGTGCATGCGTGCCCAAGATCTCGAGAGGAGAATGGAGGAGAAGGGATTGTGGTGTGGCCATCCTCCTGGGGGAAGATGTGATTTCTCGCTTTCTGTCTCTCTCTGTCTTTCCAGCGAGTGTATGTGCCCTATAGCAAAAACCTCTCCAAAAAAAAAAAAAATCCTCAACATTTTTAAAAGAATTATTTTATTTAACTTTTTTTATTTGCTTAATTTGACCAGAGAGGGGAGGAGGGAGAGAGAGAGAGAGAAAGAATGAGAAAGCAAGCCACCGGGTCCGGGACTCAAACCGCAGTCAGCCACATGGGAGTCCAGAGCCCTTAACCACCATGCCACCTGCCGGAGCCCAAATCCTCGACGTTTCATGTTTAGTAGCTCATGCTGTCATCACAGAGGCAAGCGGTCGCTCGGATCTCTGGGGAGTTTATCAGACCGGAGGTGGGTGGATTTAGGGCAGCGTGGGCAGTCGCGGCTGCACATCGGAAGCCGGGGTCCTGACGGAAGGACGCCGACGGCACAGTGGTGACGCGTGTCGTCACGTCACACAGAAGCCCCGCGAGGCCCTGCAGGTGGCAGCCAGCTTCCAGGTCTGAAGTGCTGAGAAACTGCACCGCACTCCGTGGGGTGGAGGGGTCGGTCCTTGCGTTTCCACAGTGGCCTGCAGAGGGCTCGAGGGTGTCACTGGGTGGGGCACGCTGAGACCCTGTGGCAGCACGGGAAGGGACTGTCTCCTGTCAGACCCTGGCGCAGCATATGGCATCAGTGTGGGAATGGCATTTTAAAGAAAAAGGCAAAGCGGATCCATCGTTCTTTTTATAAATTGCCCCTCACTAGACAGACAGGGAGGGAGACGGGCTGGGGCGTGGTCGGGCCACCGTCTCCGTTCCCCGTCCTGTTGGGATCTGGGGCACGGACACTCGGCGTGTTCCGAGCTGTGCAACCACAGCCAGCCTGCGGGGTCCCGCTCCCCGAGCCCTCGTCTGGGACGTCACCGGGAGGCCAGCCAGGAGTTACTACACGGACGTGTGGGGTGGATTAGACGGGAGTCGCACTGCCTCACAGAGCAGTAGCCGGGAACTCTGCCAGGTCCGCGGAGACGCCGGTGGCTCCCTCGCGCGTGCCAGCTCGTCACTGTGCCCTGTCTTTCCAGCACGCCATCCTGGCCTGGAAGTTCATACTTGCATTCGCCATCCCCGACAAGCCGCGGCACATCCAAGTGAAGCTGGCCCGGCTGGAGTTTGAGTCTCTGGAGGCGCTCAAGCAGCAGGTAAGCGCCGCCCGGGACAAACTGTCTCTAGCAGACAGACCGGCGTAATGCAGAGGGGCCGCGCCCCGCACTTGGCCCAGCCCGGGAGGGGCCAGTCTATGCAAACACAGGCCCAGCGCAGCCTGTCCCAGAACCAAGCAACGAGCGGGTTTAGAGATCTACACGAGGCAGACGGGAATGGCCGGGCGATAGTCCAGTCCCTTAAAGGACAGAGCTAGATTCTGCCAAAGAGCAAGGCAGAGGTTTCTGAGGATCACCCCGAGGCCGTCGCTGGGGCTCACTTCTGCCCTCCGCGGATGCATTGAGCAGGAACTGAGGGACAGGGTCCTGAAGAGACTTGCAGGGCGTGCCGAAGGGTGCGAGTGGGAGCGGAGGCAGCAAACGTCGCCCCAAAGAAGCTGCTTCCTGTTGATTTCCACGTTCCTCCAGAAACAGGGAGGGAGGGAGGGGCCGTGCTGCAGTACCGGCCGTGGTGAGTCTCTGCCTGTGGAGGGAGGAGGCAGGAGGCAGGAGGCAGAGGATTCCGTGGCCGGCCAGTAGCCTAGCGGATAAAGGATCCGTTCCCACCGGCCACCGCAGGTAGACTCCTGGACCCGGCTATTTGAAAACACTCCAGGAGCATGTGTGCGTGCCCCAAATCCTGACAGGTGGGAGGAATGGAGGAGAAGGCACGCAGGACCACCTTCCACTGGGGGTGCTTCCCCTCGTTTGTCAAACCCACACACCTTCTAGCAAATAAATAAATAAATAAATAAAAACAAGAAACCTCAGTGCCTGGCCTGTCCTAGCTGTTAAGTGGCCAGAGATTGACAGTAAGCCCAACAATAGAAATTGTTGCTTATGAATAATTATTATGTTTAAATTAAATTTGAGTTACTCATTTTCACCCTCCCCCCAGCCCCACCCTAGCACAGACCTCAAGCATGGTCCAGGTGCGCGCCCAAGGCAGACAGGTTCCGGGCCAGGTCCTGCCTCCTGCCCGCAGCCAGGGAGCCCCTCGCACCGCTGTCCTCTGTCTTGGTTTTATGAGACAGGAAGCGGGGTTGCAGGCCGGGGGCAGGCCTGGCCGTCTGTGTTCTGGCCCAGCGCGTCAGCCCGTCCAGCACTCCGAGATGAGAAGGGCCTGCGGCTCAGACCTGTCCAGGCCCCACTGTCTGCCTCCCGGCTCCCACTCACGTGCTGGTCCCTCCTGCCCCTCGGTCCCCACTGCTCAGCCTTGGCACTTTCAGAGGGTCTCAGCCTCCCCACGCACAGCTGCCCGGGCCTCTCGCTCACCCGCAGTGTGCTCTCTCCACAGCAGATGAAGCTGGTGGCCGAGAACCTGAAGGAGGAGCCATGGGAGGAGAAGGCGACCTGAGCCACCTGAGGGAGCCGCGGCAGGGGGCAGCCGGGGGCGGGGTCCTCCACCCCGGCTAGCCCAGCCGTCCCCGGCTCCCCAGCCCGCCCCGTCCAGGCTGCGCCCAGGCCCCACCCGGCCCTCCTGCTGCCACCTGCACCAGAGCCCCACCGCCTGCCTCCTCTGCGCCGCCACTCCCAAGCTCCAGGCCCGGACCACGGCCAGGGCAGCGAGTTTCTCAGGAGCATCCCAGGGGGCTTCCCGCCGGGCCTCCATGGCGGGTGTCGGGTGGACCAT